TTTTTGTTGGCAATATAAGTAAAAAAATACATAATTTTTGTTTTAAATAATTTTAAAATTTGTATTCAAATACAAAATAATCTTGTTTGAAAAAAAATTATAAATTAAAAAAGGGAGGTTATAATTATAAACTTTTTACTATTTTGTAACTGTGAATTATTAAACACATTACTTTTTTTGCCTGTAAGTGCACCACAAGACTCACATCACCCATGTAATTGATTTCTTTTTTTTTCCCTCTATAATAATAAATGTAGCTAGTGATGGCAACCAATGACAGTACATAAGAGTCTCCTTCTTCTTGTGATTTGGTTAAACCCCCGGGTCCATATCGTGATATGGCATGGCAATGGAATTCCTTGAAGGATATCAATAACAGAAGGAATGTGACTTGTGACTACTGTCAGAAGACAACAACATGTGGAATAACCAGGGCTAAATACCACCAAATGGGGATAAAGGGAGATGTAGAGCCATGTAAGAAAGCCCCCCCCCCCCCCCCCCCCGCGAAGTAAGAAATGCTTTGAAGGAAGCGCATGAGAGGAAGCTAGCTGATAAAAATGCTTCCCTAAATGAACTACAAGAAGATGATGATGAGCTTGAAGAGGTGGGAGAAATCCGTAACATTCGAACTGGAAAAAAGGGAGTAACATCCGACAGTGATTCCTCTACTGTTTCTGCCAAGAAAAGCAAGATTGTGAAAGGTCCCGTGGACCTAGTTCTCTTAAAAAAATAAGAAAATAACATCAAGTTGGGGAAAAGGAAAACAAGCATCAATGATGCTTGTGATAAAGAAGCTAGAGCTAGAACAATTCAATATATTGAGAGGTTTTTAGTAACGAATGAGATACTTTTCAATGTTGTATGCTCTAGAAGTTTCAGGTTGATGGATGAAGTAATAGGGAACTATGGTCCTCATTTGAAGGCTCCATCTTATTATGAATGTAGAGTTACACTCTTTCAAAAGGAGTTAGAATACACCAAGGAATTATTGAAGGAGCATGAGATAAAGAGAGTAAACTACAGATGTTCTATTTTGTTTGACGGATGGACAGATAAGAAGGGTAGAACTTTGATCAATTTCTTGGTGAATTGTCCATCAGGAACTATGTTTGTCAAGAGTGTTGATGCTTCTTCTTATGTCAAGACTTGTGAGAAATTATGTCAACTTCTGGACACTTTTGTGATGGAGATTGGTGAACAAAACGTTGTTCAAGTGGTGACCGACAATGGAAGCAATTATGTTTTGGCCGGTAAGAAGAAATAAACTCATTCAATTGTTAATATTTCAATTTATTTGTGACTCGTTTTCTTATTTAAGTTTATGCTTGTGATGTTAGGGAAATGTTTACAAGCCAATAGACGTCATTTGTTTTGGACTCCATGTACTGCACATTGCTTAGATCTGATGCTAGAAGACATTGGAAAGCTTGATAGAGTAAATAGGACAATAAAAAGAGGCATCAGTCTAGTGGATTTCATTTATAATCATTCATTGGCATTGAACACTATTTCACAAGCAAAACTGAATTGGTGAGGCATGGAGTGACAAGATTTGCTACACATTCCTGACATTGCAGAGGTTGTTTAAGTAGAAAAGCAACCTTCGAAGGATGTTCACTTCTGATGAGTGGTCAAAATCTAAGACTGCCAAAGACCCTAAGGGGAAAAGGGCAACTGATATTGTACTATGTACATCTTTTTGGAATGGTGTAGTTTTTTGTCTTAAGGCTACGAGGCCTCTTGTGGGTGTGCTGAGGATGGTTGATAATGAAAAAAAGCCAGCAATGAGTTACATTTATGAAGCAATGGATAGGGCCAAAGAAGCAATTCAAAATGCATTTCATGGAATTGGAAAAGAAGATAAGTATAAAGATATTTTAGCTATCATTGATAAAAGATGAGATTGTCAACTTCATCATCCTTTGCATGCAGCTGGGCATTATCTTAACCCTCAATTTTTTTATTCTAATCCAAGGTTGGATGATGATTTAGAAATGGTTAATGGTTTTTAAAATGCTTCGAGAGGCTAACTGCAAATACAGATGAGATGGACCAGGTTATGAATGAATTGGAGCTATATAAGAAAGCTCGGGGTCTCTTTGGCATGGACTCAGCCAAAAGACAAAGGGATAAAATGTCTCCTCGTAAGTATTTGATCCGTTTAAGCTTTTATTATTACAATTTATTTAACTAGTCATATTATTGAGTTATTATATTTTGTATTACAGTGCAATGGTGGGGGACGTATGGAACACAAACAAAAGCACTGAAAAAAAATTGCCATTAAAGTATTGAGTGTGACTTGGAGCTCTTCGGGATGTGAGCGCAATTGGAGTATTTTTTAGCATGTAAGTACATGTTCAATGATTTTATTTATAGAGTTTCATAACTGATTGTGAAACTAATATGTTTTATTGTTAATTATCAAATAGATTCATTCCAAGAGGCGAGGTAGACTTGAGCATCAGAAGTTGGAGGACTTGGTTTATATTAAATATAACCAAACTCTTAAATATCGATTTGACAATCGTGATTTGATTGATTCCATTATCCTAAATGGTATTGATGAAAGCAATGAATGGTTGGTAGGAGATATGGGTGGTGATGGGGAAAAGAATGAGAATGAACTTGTATTTGAGGATGATACCATCACCTGGGGTGACATTGCAGATGTAACTAATGCTGATGAGCCTTTAATTTACACTAGACAACAGACAAAGTCCATTGCTTTGCCTTCAAGCTCTAAGGGAAAGGAAATTAAAGAAACTGAAGGACTTGAAGATGTGCCAGAACAACTGTACAATATAGATACTAGTGACAGTAAGGCTGAAGCAGACTTTGGTGATGGCGGAATTCAAGATTCTAATTAGTTCTTTTTGACATTTAAATATGGAAACAGAATGGAATATGTTTTGGATCTTTTAATTAACTACTTGGAATTTCTGTTTGTTTTGGAGCAATTCTTTATTATTATTGATTTTGTTTTATTTTTTAGCATATATATGTGTGGTATATCTAGGTTCTATTAGTCCATTCTGCTATTTTCGCAATCACAACCCGCTATATCGCTATAGCATGTTTTAGGGTTGGCCGCAATAGGCCGCAATCTGTTTTAACTACTATGGGTTTAACGCATGCAAGCTAACTTATGTCGAACGTGATATATTTGATAAGATTGATAATGAAGATATAATGCAATATTTTCAAGGAATAAAAAATCAAAAAATGCTTTTGTAATTGTTCTATTGTAATAGCTTAGTTGACTATTGATTACTATTTTTTTATGTTAAGTTGAAGTTTTCTTTTTTTGTTTATATTCTTTTATTTTTTAATGCATTTAAAACTTTTTTTTAAAATTTTTTTCGAAGCACAGCTCCTGAAACCCCGCCACTAAGTGTGTGGATATAAATAAAATTTCTTGAGCCCGCCACTAAGTGTGCGGACATAAAGTTTCATTACTTTGGTTGAGAAACAATTTGAAAAGCCCAAGAAGATAATCAGGATCAACAATGGCCATGTATTCCTCATGCATGATTTTTTCTTCTATTTTTTATTTATAATCTTTTCTATAAGTATAGTAAGTTTTTAATATATTTAATCTTATTTTATTTTCTTTATTTTGTCATAATTCTATTTTCTGTTTATAAGAAGGGTAAAATAGATAGGTTAATTTAATTTCTAAAAATGTTAAGGAAGAAAAAAATCATAAGGAGGTAAATAATTAAAAAAAATAGAGATATAAATAATTCAAAACAAAATGTGATTTTTGAATTTTTACCTTTATAAAATGCACACTATCAATGAATTAATATCAATTTCAAAACATTTCACTGTATCAATTTCAAGGTAATACGATTCCTTTTGTTACTTAATTTATAATATTTGATATAAAATCTATAAGATTTAAAAGGTAATATAATATTTTATTTTTGGATTTAATATTTCTCTTGTGTAGAAAATAATTTTATCTTCTATACATAAAGAGGGGCAGGATATACTTACAACCAAAAAAGTTTACCACTCTTACAACCAAAAAAGTTTACCACTCTTACAACCAATTTAATCACCATTGATTTCCGTCAATCTAACGGTTATAATCTATTGGAAATTAATAATTAATTAATAAATATGACACAATAAATATTATTAATTTCCAATAGATTATAACCGTGAGATTGACGGAAATCAATGGAGATTAAATTAGTTGTAAGAGTGTTAAACTTTTGTGGTGATAAGTAGATCCGTTCCCACATAAAAATATATAAGATTTATATTTTCTTTTTATCTCTTTTCTCTTTAGTGAGGGTGTTCGCGGTCTGGATTGGATCAATTTTAGAAGCAAAAACTATCTGATTCAATCTCTTCGGTTTGATCATGTAATCATCCATTCGGTTTGAATTTTTTTCAAATCCGATCCGATCCAATCCAATTTTTTTCGGTTTAGATTGGATCGATTTTCGGTTTTTTGAAAATCCTAAACTTTATTTCACAATTATTGTACAAATAATATCTTTTGTATATATTACTTTGGAAATTTTTTTTTTTTGAAATACAAAAGCATAATAAATGATAATATAATTTTTTTTCTTATAATGAGATATGAAGCTCTACACATCTGCACAAATGAGATTTTGTTGATGAGATGTGATTAGGTTTTTCCTTGGGTTTAGTTGATGGGTTTTGAGTTTAGAAATTTTTGGGACATGAGAAAGCCCCAAATATAGAGGGAAATTAATATATTGGATCGGTTTAGATTGGATCGATTTTCATCAACCAATCCCAAAACCGATCCAATACATTTAAAATTTGTGATTTTTTTTTCGGTTTTTCAATTTTTCAATTTTCAATTTATTCAGTTTTCATTTTTTTGGTTCAGTGACTGCGATTTAAATCGGTTTGGATCTATTAACAGATCCTATTTACATAACCCTTCACCAGTAACAAACTACCCCACTGCCGCTCTGGTCACAGCAAATAGTGACTCACATGACATGAATATCCCCAATTTCCAATTGAAACCCTGTTCCGTTTATGAAATAACCGAACTAACCGGTTACCGTTTCGCTCCGTTCAAAACTACCTCTGTTGTCGACGAAAAACATTGTATCATCCGAAATGTCGGTAAGTTTCAAGCTTTCAAATTTTCGTTTTTTCTCAGATCTGTTCGTTCAGCTTTCCATTTCACGTGTTAATTTTGTTCCCTCAAGTTTCTTAATTTTGCGTTTCAGATCCTATGTGGGTTGGGTTTCTTCTCTTCTTGTTTGTTTATGGCGCAATGTGTTGTGTTGTAGTTCCATTGTAGAAAATGCAAATCCTTATATTCATAATTCATTGACTTTTTATATTTGTTTTCTCCATGGAAAAATATTAAGTGATATAACCATGAGTGGTTTAGATTGCTGTAGTTATAAACATAAATGCTCTTCTTGTAGCAGTTATTATAATTTTGGATCTGCAATGTTCAGCAATGACCTTTTTGGATTCCAAAAAAGAGCAAACTGTTGTGTGATTCACCAATTGGTGATACATGAATTGGTGATGTTTTGTTGTTTAGGCAATGCCCCACCAATGGTTGGTTTTGTTCATATTAAATCATGAAGTTACATTAGTTGAATTTGTGATGACAAATTCTTATGCCATTTGGATTGATTCTTTTCATGTGGACAATCTATCACATTGATATTGTCTCTTGGTATAACCTTTCCTCTTGAGTTATTGACTCTTTGTTCTTTTGCTTTGTCTTCTGAGCTATGAGGATAGTACTCATTAGGCTTTTGTATTTTGTTGATCTTTCTTCACTTAAATTCATCATTAAACCCTAAACCCCACTCTACAGCTACACCGAATTGGACTATTCATGTTTCGGATGTGAGGAAGACATTTTACATTGTGACATAGTTTAGCATTATAGTTGTGGAATAAATGATCCATGAATCAATATTATGTTTCCAGTGTGGATTCCTGGTCACTGCAATATAAATTTGCATGCCTTTAACAGTAAAACCAGTGCCGGCAATAGTAACAGGATTTGAAAACTAGTAGATTTTACAATTTTGGTTTTAGTTAACGTGTGCCCTCAAGACACTAATTAAATAGATATTATTTAATGAAAGTTAGAAGCATTTAATATCATCAAAATCCAAAAAGCAGTTAATTAGGGTACATATTAACAAAACCCTCACAATTATTAGAGATTGTAATTCACACTATAGGGGACCCAAAATGACTTGAAGACTCTTTTACTTATGTTTTTCTTGGAAAATTGTTTTTGGTGCTCGACTACAATCTTGGTTACTTTAGGCTAATCATTCGGAACAATTCTTATATGAGCCACATTGTCCTTGGTTGGTATTTTAGATGTGCAAATATTTTTAGTAGTTTCTTGGATTTCAGATATCCCTTGATGGAGAAATTTTCAAGTTCATTCCATTTTGATTTCTTACAGACAAGAACAGTTAAGGTTAGCAACATATCACTGGCTACTTCCAAGAAGGAAATTGAAGAATTCTTTTCATTCTCAGGTGATATTCAATATATTGAGATGCTAAGGTCAGAGCACTTATAATGCACTTATCTTTATTCATTTCTTATGATTGTCGTTGTTTTTAACTTTTACTGTAAATGTCACCCTAATCTTTGGTTATAAACTTGTAATTCTCAGGGAATCTGATCACACCCAGATTGCTTATGTTACCTTTAAGGATTCACAGGGAGCTGACACGGCAGTTCTCTTGACAGTATGTTTATATGCAAATAATATTTGCATATAAAACGTCACAGTACATTTCATAATAATAAGATGCATTACACCAATGTATCCTACTAATCCTTTCCATTCAATCACTAAAACTGATAAACATAAATTGAATTTAGACAGATACTTTTAGTTGATTTTCTTTTTTAAAATTATGTACTTATTCTTCTGCTTTTTAATATAGGGTTCCAAGATAGCTGATCTATATGTTACCATCACACCTGTGGAGAAGTACCAGCTGCCCCCTGAAGCTATTCCCTCAAGTCCAGTAAGTACTTAATTGTTAACTTAAATTCCGTGCTATTTATTAAATGCAATTGAGATCATCATGCACCAATTTGCTGCTACTAGTACATTTATATGTGGTTAAATTTGCTAAATATTGAACACTTCTGCTGAACATGTTTGTGCCATGTGCCCAAAAATATCAGTGTCGAGGTAACATAGAATGCTAATGTGTTTTATATATCTGACTGATAGGACCTAGGAAGTTAGGAAATTATTGAATTAGTTCCGAAGTAGTTATAGAATCAGTTAGGTGGTTATAATTTGAAGGGCAGGGGCTCTGCTTAAATAAGCAGCAGTAGAAGGGAGGGAGATTCAGATTTGTGGGTTTGGGAAGACAGAGGTATGGATCAGTTGTAAAATGGGAAACCCTTTGTTGAAGGGGAAACTCTTAGAAGGAAAATTCTCTACTTTTCTCTGTTTGTGATTTCGGTTGTCAAATAATAGAATTGTCCCATTTCTTTCCATCTTCCGTATGCTTTCTCTTTTCTTGCGGGTTCATAACGCTGACTCATTACATCATTAATCTTGACTGACTCCTCCTAGTTTCAGGTTTTGAAACATATGACTTCACTATCGCAGCCAAATTTATATGGTGCTTAATATCTTTGTCTGGGTATGATTGCTATAAATTTTTAGATCTACTTTGTTCTGCTGATGATGTCAGCAACTTATCTGCAGCAATGAAAACAACTTTGGCATGAAGATGATGCCTCAAAATCTTATATACACCAAATTACCACTTGTATCTTAGCAGATCTAAACATGCTCTGTAAAACATTTTAGTATGAAGTTTGATTAATAACTATATGACTACACTATCGGTGTTGTATCTGATGCTCAAGGCAAATATACTGTAAATTTTGTGACTGAGCAGTTCTGAATGTGACTTTCAGATCTTCAATTAGATCTAGATGCACAATCTCCGCATGTGCATACAAATTCTTTTCTTTCCCTTCCCACTGGATTGGAAATTTTAATTTCGTTACTATCAAATTCTGAGTATAAGTGAAGTTTCTAATGTACAATACTCTTCTCAATAGATAAACCGAAGTGCTTCTTCAGTTAATGGGGCTGAAGATGTAATGAGCACCATGCTTGCCAGGGGTTTCATTTTAGGAAAGGATGCAATCTACAAGGCAAAAGCCTTTGATGAACGTCATCACTTGACCTCAAATGCTTCTTCCACAGTTGCTTCCATCGATCGTAAAATGGGTTTAAGTGATAAACTAAGTATTGGAACAGCTATTGTCAATGAAAAGGTGAAAGAAATGGATGAAATGTTTCAGCTTTCCGAAAAGACAAAGTCTGCTATTGCTGTTGCTGAGCAAAAGGCAAGTAGTGCTGGATCTGTTATCATGAGCAATCCTTACGTATTAACTGGAGCTTCATGGGTGTCAAGTGCCTTCACTGCTATTGCAAAGGCAGCTGAGGATGTTAGCATGATGACTAAGGAGAAGGTTGAACAAGCTGAGGTGGAAAAGAAGGAGATCATTTACCTTGAAAGGCAAGGGACTGTTGATGAATTTGCACATATGCACTTTGAGGATTCTTCAGATGCGGGTCCTGCGGTTGTTCCTGTTAATTCAGACAATGACAGTAAGTTGGGAATTATATAATTTTGAGATGACTCACAATCCTTACATCCTCACAAGCACAGTTTTATTGATTTGGTTAATATAGTTTTTGTCAGTCTTCACTTGCTGCAAATTGGTTGTACAATGATAAGTCTTGTTGATTGTTATAGTGATGTAAAGTTTTCTCTGGCTGATTAGATTCCAAAACATAGTCAACATTCATGTAAAATAATAAATTGTTATTCGTTATTATGATACTAATTGTGAGTTTTTTCTTCACTCACTTCTTCGCTTAGGTCATATGCTTTTGGATTGGTTTTATTACAAACATTATCCTCAGTATAATTTAATTTTGCAGAACATTTTCTTTCTTCATGATTTTCAGTCGATATCTGTAAGCATACGACATACATGGGCCCATACACGGCAAATAATAGTTTTTAATATGGGTCCTATTTGTTTTAAGTTTCACAAAGCATAATTGTTTCATAGTTTTAGCAACTATGTGTCTCTTGGCTTTTGCATATATATAGGAATAAGTTTAATAGAACATCTAGACATGTTGGTCTATGGTGCTTTGAAATCAAGTGGCCTAATATGTTAAAAGATTGCTAGGTGGCGACAAAAGACAGTGCCTGCTTATGAAAGAAAGAATCATATATATATGATGCAAGATAAGCTTTTTTGTATAACCCTGTAATATCTTTATAGGTCATTAACAGTTATCAGCTGAGTTTCCTGTCCCGTTGTTAGGTTTTACAGCTTCCTAAAAATGTGTATATTTGGTGTTCTATATGGGTCACCAGTTTAGAACAATCAATATAGTTTACATGGGAAAAATAATGGAATTTCCTTCCTCTAAGGCAGTGAAACAAATGAAATTTATTCAGTATCAATTATGAATCAACCAGGCATAAGAATGCCATTTGTCTTCAGATGAGAAGGTACAATCGCCACCTAACTGAATTGTATAGCCGATGTGCTCCATGCCAGCTAGTATGTTATCATAGATAGCGTAACAACCACTCCAGGCTCTGTTGAAATCAAGGTAATATTAAGTTTCATCTTAAATACATCAATAATGCCAATAATAGAAGAGATCAAATGATAATAAACGAAATGATTTATTTCATTCTAATTTAGTGTGGGGCTTTTCTCAGCATAACAAATGAAATAATTCAATTAATTAGAAAAACTTGTAGTGTGGCGCTTCTGAATCATGACATTTCATGAGGTTTATTGTAATGATTATCTCCATCCACATGTGAGAAGAAGTTTTTCCTACTGATACATGAAATTGTGTGTCAAATTTGTTTTTATTTTTTATTTTTATTTTAAAATGATGGTCCCACCATTTTTTTAATAGGAGATAAGGTTTTGATTTCTGTAAAATAAAAAAAGTTTTTCCCTTATTATTATTATTATTATTATTATTATTATTATTATTATCTGGTTTTAAACTTAAAACAAAAGAAATGGCACACTAAAAAATTATTATAAATAGGGACTATCGTACCTCCATGCATTCATGCAAATTCTCATCCTTTGATCTAACGTGGATCTACAAAATCATAAGATTAATTATCGACATGACATTCCATTTGATTGATGCATTTAAGATTCAAATAAAGCCAAAATTCTGTATCACAATAATAATTAATTACCCCTATGACTTTGTGGATTGCATGTTGATTGACTTCTAAACAAGCCAGGATTACAAGTGCCGCAGCAACTGTTGAGGGCCAGTAGCACAGCTGATCATGAGCTGACAGTGCAAGCACTGCCAGATACTTGACCCTCTTCTCCACAACTGCATCAGCATTAGCAGCTTTTAGGTAGAACCTGTAAAATTTACATGTAATATAGCTGAAATAAGTATACATAAAAGAGAGGGTAGAATCATATCTTCCTTGTGATGCTCGAGTGACAATTTAAGAAGGCGGTAAAAGTTTTTCTTAATTGGTGCCATGTGAAGTTACAGTTACAAGATTTTATTATAATATTTAAATTATGCACAGTTGTTAAGGCAAAAAGTCCCTTATTAGATAAATAAAAGCATATATAAGGCTTTGCTTAAACCATTCATTTTAAATCGTGTCCCAGAAAGAAACTGAAATCTTGAATGATGAATGACGACCAGAAACAATGAATATTAGCTGCTTTGTATCCTTTATGCAGAATTTTAGTTCATATTCGTGCTATAAGAATGTAAAGAAAAAATTATACCACAAGAAACTGTAGATGGTAGGCAGAAAACACTGGAAGTTGAGCACCTCCTGCACCATCCATTCCATAGCCACAACCTCGCATCTACTGTACACATTGCTTTTTATGTAGAAATTTTTTTGCCCCACTCTATAATGCCCACAAAAGACTCGGTTACTCATTAGATAGAAATAACCACTGCACATATTAACAGAAAGTTGTAGAAAATAAAAATAAAAATACTCAGACATAATAGAAATAACCCCTGAGAAGAAACGACCTCCTGATCGGCCTAAAATTTATATATTATCACTTAGTCATTTATATAAGGGAAAGAATATTATGCCTCCTTTTTTTATGTCTATATTATTATATCAGATTCTCTAGAAAAAAAGAATAAAAATTAGATGAAATTTTGATTTAAAAGATGTTGGAGAAGAGTAAATAGAGTAAGCATAAACAAAAAATAGACATAATATCATATTCCAACACTTACATCTGAGATATTGACAAATAATTAAAAATAGTGTGTTTAGATAATTAGGATAAATTGCAAATAACTCCCTTAATGTTTTAGTCGTTTTTAATTTTTATTAGTAAACTTTATTTTAGTCGTTTTTAATATTTTAGTCGTTTTTAATGTATAACTCTGTGAAGTTTGATTATATTGAAAAAGGTTAAATTATGTTAGTTTTAACATCTCACACGTCATGTGAAAAACATATACCTTAAAAACAGGGTTAAAACTTGCAAGCAGATTTGACTTAATTCTAACTTTATTTATGAGACATTAAAAACTTTTACAAAATGTTTTTCTTTCGAACTCAAACTTTAAGGGAGTTAATGTGATACAAAATAAAACTTATGTATGAAAGTTGAAAATGTCTAAAATTTTAGGTTATTTGTAGTTTTTGGAAATAATTCTTATCTGAATCAAATTCTTTTAGTTACGAGATAATACATTATTAGTGAGAATAAATACACTCAAACTAAATCAAAATTTAATCCTAATTTATTTCCATTGCCTCAATGTCAAGGCCATAGCAAATCACTAAACCAGAAGGCAACCCCAAGACCAGTAAAGGACAGAACCCGCGCGCGCCCGCTGCCCCGCCCCCAAAAAAAAAGACGATGGGAAAAAATGTAAAGATTAAATAATGAACCTGTTATATTGCTGGTTTTCTTCGATCCTGGTGGCTAACGTAAGGCAGGCTATTCCAACAATTTGAAGGTTCCTTTTGGCTTTGAAGTATCCTTTGCTTAAGAAACGGTCAAGTAGGCTGACTCCAAGAAACATTGTCTCTTGCAGAAGCTGTTTTCGATTACATTGCTGCCCATTTAACGCGAATTTCAGAGATAAAAGCATTTTAAACAACATCAACTAGCAATTCGAAGCCCAACAACTTCCATAAGGTAGCATTTGACAATAGTTCGCATACGATAATATTAGTTAGTGGGTGACTGTGTTAGCAACATATATAAGCTTTATATATATATATATATAAAATTATATATTCATCTTGCTGTCTGAAAGAGGGGGAAGAAGAAAAATTGATTACCCTTCATCAAAAGAAAATAATCTAATTGTTAGTAATTTCATCATTAAAAATGATAATTACAAAAATAATACTAACTAGAGAAACCCCTTCAGTCAACGCAAGAGAAAACCCCTTCAATTCGCGGTGGATCCCACGAAATTTTTTCGTACTATGTAACAATGCTCTAATTATAAAACGACGGAATTAAATTATATTCATTTGTATAATTTATTAACAATTTCAAAAATAATTTTGGTGTAATATATATAACAATTTCATGACCTCAGGCCGCCATTCAATTAATATCTTTATTTAATGCTGCTGCTTCTGGCTTATGATATATAACCTAAAATACGAGAAAAGTTACTCTGCACCCGGTGCAATGCACCTTTTTCTAAAAATAGAAAAAAAAACTAGAACATGGAAGGAAATACCTAAAATGATAGGGATAAAAGTGTTATAAAAAATTTCTTATTTTAAAAAATGGAACACTGAATCATGGTGCACCGGGTCTATGTTAATTTTTCTCCTAAAATACCCACGCACACAAATTCATGACTACCTAGTTACGTCATGTAACATGGAATGAAGTGTATGATCAACGTTACTTTTGTGCGTTGAACAGAATGACAATACAACCCCTCTCTTATAGAAATGTCGAATGCGTTCTATCTATATGAAATGTTGGAAGCATTAAAACAATAATGAGACTAGTGTTGTTAGTGGGACTTTCAAATATTGAGTGTTAGTAATCCTTTGCTAAGTAAGAACAAGAAAGAAAGAATTTCTCCATATCTATGATCGTTCTTTCTATCTCATTTATGATTCAGTGGTCCAAGCCAATAAAATTTAAATATTTTTTGACTTGTTTGTATGGAGGAAAGAAAAATTTTATTTTTTTCTACAACTGACAGCTCCTCAACGAAAAAAATAGGTGTGCCAAAACTAATACAAATGATCTCCTCCTCCAAGTATAAAGCAAAATCTGTCTTGGGAGAACCCAAACTAACTACCCACATGCACGTATAGGAGAAAAGTGCGTTACATGCATGACGATACAGGGATTTACTAAAGTACGCCGCTGCCCGCAACACTTTGAGAGTGAGAGGCGTTGGTCATTCTAAAAAAACTGACGTGTCACGAGGCAATTGGAAGCTACTAGCGATTCTCCAACAATGTCATTGTACAGAATGTTTACTCTTTAACTGAATCCACTTTGGTTTTCACTTTTCGAACGTGTTCTCTCTAAGGCAATGCAAAACATAATAAAGAACCACTAGCTATGTACCAAAAATGAATATATAATAAAAAAAGGCCCAGCTAATATTCAAAGCATGAGCAGTGCTTAGCTCTATTTCAAGATCAACCAAGACGGCTTATTAATTGGTTGCTGGACAAAAAATAAAAGTGAAAATTATCAACGAAACCGACCATAATAATAATAATAATAATAATAACAATAAAATTTAATAATAATGATGATTGCTGTTGATGATGGCATGAATTTAGTTCTAGATAGACCTACCTCAACGATCCAGTGAACCATTTGGGAACGTTGCTGAAGCACGAGCTCTCCTATATCCGTGGTAGAGAAATATCTTTCAGCATAATTCCACAGGAAAACTTGCCTCCTTTCCCTCTTTCTCAGCATCTGGTAGCTGTCTTCGTCATCCAAATCTTCCAACCTCGCAAACTAAAATCAGATACACCGAAACTAAGAACTCCGAATAACGAAAATAAAACCAACAAAAAAAAGGAAGCTAAGCAGATTTCTAATAGAACTAGTTACTAATTCTGAATTCTGAAATTGAAGCAAGCAAACCTACTTTGAGTGGAAGAGAGTCGACGCTTGAAGCAATAACTGGAGAAGTTAGCGTCGAGAATTGCTCGCGGTACTGAAGGAACAGCGAATAAGTTGGCGAAGGAGTTTCTCCAACGGATCCCTGCGAAAACTGGCTTCCAGAATCGGTGAACAGAGACGGAGTGTAATCTGAATGCTCTAGTTCTGAGCATTCGCCGAAGATCTCGGAATGAAGGTCAGAGAATGCAGTTCCCTGGCTGGAACAGTACTCTGATTCGTCTTCAGAGCATGAGAATCTCAATTGCTCTGAGCAATTGAGATCGGAGTCGACGCCTGAATTGTTCCATCCCTGCTTTATTATCGATTGCGCCATCAAATCAGCGCAATTCTCACCAGCGTAATTTTTTCTTGAACCTGGAGAGAATTCCAATTGCGATGCTCTGTTTTCCTTACATTTGGTCTTTTCCTCCTCAAACGAAGTCGCACGAACACCAGAGCTAACTGAAACGACGTCGTTTCGGTTTATCTCCGACGAGATTTTCAAATTTCCGTTACCGGACTTTGAAGTCTCAACGTGAAGTTGCTCCTCGCAAGTAATCTCCGATTTCGTGCAAGCTTCCGAAACTTCATCATTTTCTTTCAAATTCTTACTTTCTTTTCCGCTCCTGAACTTCAAAACCAAGCTTCTGCTACGTTCACGAACACTAGAATTGGAGTCCACACACGAAGACTGTGACACCTCCACTTCATTTTCATTCCGCTTTACGAATCTCCGATTTCTCAAGAAATCAACACAATCACCATTCCTAACGCCTTCAATTTCGGATGATAATCTGTTTTTCGATTTCGACCTTCCTAAGCCAGAGAGTGCAGTGGAAGCTCTGTTCGAATCGCACGAAACTTCACCGCCGACGAAGTCCGAGCCAGAACTCGAATCCACTGAAACAACGGAGAAACGAGGATTCACGCCAGAAATGCTGAACCTCATGGACGGAATAAGCACCGGCGAGATCTGGCATCTTCGCCGGCGAGGTAGCTTCGACCGGAGCTTCTTGCTAATGATGTGCAGTGGTGGTTCTGGTTCCTGTTCCGGATGGAGCTTCCGCTTCGATCTTCTCGATCTGATTGTCATTGTTGTTTGGTTACCGAGAAACGAAGAGAAAATTCCTGTGCTGAGTCTTACTTGTGAGGAGAGAGAGAGAGAGAGAGAAGAGTATTTGAACGGTTATGGGAGTTATGGTATTGAAGGAAAACGAGGGAGGAGAGTATTTATATGATACGGTCCCACGTAATGCGTTTTCCGTGCACCACGTCAACACATGATGAGGGGTGCAAGGAAGCAAAAGTGAAGAATTATTTATTGTAATAATTAAGTGTTTTTGGAAATTGATTAATTAAAACTTAAAAAAAAAAAGTGTGTTTGGCAAATACTTTGGATTAAAATAGAAGTATTTTATAAGTTAATAGTTTTAAGATATTAATGCCAAATAATGAAGGAAAATATTAGTTTCATGTGATGTGAAACAACAAGTCTTTCCTACACACTTGAAAAGGTGTAAGTTTGTGAGTGCAACATGAGATATCTTATTTTCTATTACATAAAAAAAATATAATCCTAATAATGAAATATAATGATCTTGTGCAATTACTTGACCAAGAACCGAATTGTGAGGTTGCTATATTCAAATGCCACACAGAAATTCAGATGATGTACATGGGTTACATGAAAGTGTTTGCGATTATTTTTATTGACTTTTCATTATTTGAGCCGTCATGTAATTTAATTATGGGAAATAATACTCTCATGTCACATGAGATACTCTTATTTTTCTACACAAATTCATTTTCCGTGCCAAATAATTTTTCTTTTCTTTTTTAATATAAAGTATGAGATCCACATTTAATTTCTCTCTATTTTTTTTCTCTCCTACAATCCTACAACATAAGAAAAGTTAAACCCTTTAATTATTCACATTTCGATTGGTTAATACGAAACCATATTTTGGGGTAAACATATGATTTTTGCTGTTACCATCTTTAATATTATATACTTACTTTTTTTACTAACTTTATGCAGGGAGATAGTTCTATTATTCTCTTTTTTATTTTCAAAAAGTTACAATATTTATTTTCATGTAATTGAAAATAAAAATTATAAGTCAGTTGTAATTTAAAATGCTTGCCAATTTTTTTAAAATTTAAAAATATTATCTCTTTATAATTTATATTTTAATCTCACATTTTGCATGAGTGGCAATTCTGATGAACAAATATTTGTGTTTGGGATATATATCAATATCAGAAAATCATTTTTGTTATGGGACAAGATATATACTCAAAAGCAATTTAGTTTTCTTCAAAAGTGTAAAAAAAAAAAAAAAAAAAATTGCTTAACAAGATATGTGATTAAAAATTGAGAAACGAGCTATTTACCTAAAAAAAAAAAAAATCACCTGATGAATTGTATGAGAAATTATGTTCCTACTATAATTTATGGTGAAACCAAAAGCCTTTTGAACGTGGTGGATCTGTTTTTTCAAGTAACTAACTATTCTGCTATTGTTTAGTTTTTTATTCGTAAACGATTTATTTGTTCAGCTTATCAAGAAGAGTGTAATCCTAGTTGGCTTATTAAAATTAAAATATTGATTATTTGTGTAAGATCTAACCTAGCATTACAAATTAATATTGGTGTGTATGTGGAAAGCTTGATAAATAACACAAGAGTGCTTTGGGAAATTTAAGAACTAATTCTATATCCTTTAGTTTATAATTATCTTACTTAAAAGAATGATTGATTACCCATCATAAAAGCTTGGGGATGACGAAATATGCTTGTTACCACTGGCGGACCCAGCTTGGCGCACATGTCCGTAAGTTTGAGGACACGAAAATTGGGATTTTTATTTTTTTATTTTTTTTTGCAGGTTCTTGTTTATCTATTGGTTCAATATTTATATTAGAAATAAATACCATTTTAAGTTCTTAATAAAAAATATGATCTCCACTTTAGTCTTTTATAAAAAAAATTAGTCTTGAGGTTCTTAAGAAATTCGAAGTGAATCAATTTAGTTAAAATCGTGATCCCTCACAAATTCAAAAAAGACCCACATTAGTCGCTCAAAAGGACTAAAATATGTTCACTTTGAATTTTGTAGGGACCAGGCCACTAAATTTTTTTTGTAAGGAACTAAAGTGGAACCGAATTTTTTGTTAGCGATCAAAAAAAGTATTTACTCTTAGGGAAATAATTATCTCATGTTGCATGAGATAATTATCTCATGCAACAGAGACAAAGTAGTGGGGTCCACATTATTTTTTCTTTTTTGTTTTTTTATAAATGGTGGACCCCACTATCTTGTCTCTGTTGCATGAGATAATTATCTCATGCAACATGAGATTAATAGATCTCTTACTCTTATATTAGTTAGCAACGTAACAACGTACAAAGATGATTAAAACAACGTAACAACGTACAAAGATGATTAAAACAACGTAACAACGCAAATTGATTAGAGAGAAAACTCATTCTTTCTCCCCTGTCACGTACCCATTCTCATGCTCTCTTCATCCTTTGTTTCCTTTTTCATTTTTCTAAAAATAGAGGATTGATTGCAAGTCTGATATTATCAAATAAGTTAATCTCTAGAAACGAGGCTGACGAGGCTTTCACTGTGATTTCGCTTGTCTTTGTACTGGTAGTGATGACTTTTTTATTCACCACTATAAATAGAATGATGATGTATAGATGTACTGGAGTATATTCTAATATTTGTTTTGGATGATTGATAAGACTTAGGGGAGGAATGATTGGTCAAACTATTGTCTACAGTTTGTTATGAAAACAACTAGATTATGAGCGAGTTCATAACTTTGTACATAAAGCGTTAATCTAAATTATTTTTTAAAAAAAAAAATTTCAGGAACACATAAAGATTTTTTTCGGGGTCCGCCACTGCTTGTGATATAACACTTAAATTGAGTCACTGTATTTATACTTGTACAAAGGTGAAAAATTTGAATGGGTGTACAATTCACAAAGAAATATGTGTGTATATACACGAAGTGATTAGATATATAATAGAAAATATTTGTCAGACTTCAATTAGAAAAGTCACTTGAGGATTTTTTTTATTTTTATTTTTGGTAAGCAGTCACTTGAGGATTTAAAATTAGCTTATTTTGTATTGAAAAAAAGGTTTATAATCAAAATGCGAGCATTAAAATGTTGTCTTTGTTTTAGACCCCGTTTGGATGGGCTTTTTTTAAGAAAAAAAAGTCTTTTTCGAAAAAAGTCTGTTTGGATGCCTGCTTTTAAAAAAAACAGAAGTCATAAAAAAGCTAAAAACTTACTTTTTTCAAAAGCTAAAAATTTTAACTTTTAAAAAAAGTAGAAGTCAAAAGTCAAATATCTTTTTCAAAAATCAAATATTTTTTTAAAAATCTAAATAGCTGTAACTTTTATAGAAAGTACTTTTAAAATAAGGAAGTGATAAAAAGGACTTTATTAAAAAGTCCATACAAACGCAGCCTTAATATTAATGTCAAGCGAGCCACAGAAGCTAATGACCGAGGGATCATCACAAGTTACATTAATCATAATAAATGAATCTGTGTCACGTCTCAATACAAAATATTAAGATATTAAGTTCACAGGTTCACTCACTTATATAGGTTATTATCAACCAATATAAAAATTCATCACATTTATATTAAAAAAATATAATATAAAATTATTGAAGACTCATCACTTATTAACATAAATTATTAGATGAGATGTGTTAGAAGGTAAGAGAGAGAGCAATAATGATTAAAATTATGAAAAGAGAGATCAGTGGAAAATTGATATTATTGATTGGGTAATTCATTTGTATATATGATGCTCTTATATAGAAGGGCATAAATAGAAAATAAAAAGATCTAGAATATCTCAATTAAAATAAAATAAAATATTTAAATCTCTAATAAGATGATTGTCTACATAATATGATAGCTTTCGTAAAATTATTAAAGGACATTTAAGTTGAATTAGTTGCTTTACAACTTAATTCTAGAAACTTTTCCCTCAATTGTTAAACTCCACATTTTTTTGAGTAAACTAAGGGTGTCCTCATCTCGTAGGATGAGACTAATCCCTTCGTAACTTAAAGCATAAAGGTTTTCACTATTAAGCTCAAAGTGTTTCTCGTAGGAATCGAACTCGTGACTTCATCAGCCACAGGAGCCCGAGTGCTCGACCCTTGAACTACAACAATCCACTTACCAACTAAGCTACACGTTGGGGTTTAAAAAAAAATCACATTAGTATGTTCCTTTTCAATGGAAAGCCAACTTGCCTCTTATCAAACATTTGCTAAGCACTATGGCCCGTTTGGATGAGCTTCCAAAAAAAGTACTTTTTATGCCTTACTTATTTTAAAAATGTTTTTTATAAAAGGTAAAGTTATTTAGATTTTTAAAAAAATATTTGGTTTTGAAAAAAAATATTTAAGTTTTGACTTCTGTTTTTTTATAAGCTAAAATTTTTAGCTTACATAAAAAATAGGTTTTTAACTCTCTTTTTTTATGACTTCTATTTTTTAAAAAAACAGGCATTCAAATATGCTTTTTCTGAAAAGTTTCTTTTTTTATGAAAAAAATTAGCTTTTGACAAAAAAAAAAAAAAAAAAAAAACTCATCTAAACGAACTCTTAGACACGTTAGAGAAAGCCCATAAACTGTTTTTGTGGATAGCAGTGAGAAGTGATAAAGCAATAGGATGCCGAACTAACAGTGTTAACACGTAAAACATTTTGGGCTCAACAAAATTATTTGATCAGCTGGAGCACAAGTAGTTAGCCATTTAGGCTAACCAGGAGGAGGATTAAAATGCTTACAAGCTTGAATCCATCTCGGTTGGGCCAAATGGACTGTGGAATGTAAATCTATGAGATTGTGGACCTAGTATAGGTTGATTGCCAGCCTAATTAGTTAATCTATCATGTGTAGCATTGGAAACCACCACCCAACAAAATAGGAATTGTCATTGAAAATTTCAAGCAATTTGATCGATATGAAGTCTACATAACTCAGAAATAGGGATAGGGATCAAGTTGATGCATAAGAAAGGAGCAACAACCTCTTTCATGAAAA